GGAATAGGAAGGGCAAAGCCATCCATGGCCTTTGACAAATCTATTTTCCTTCATACTTTTGACTTGAAACTGCGTCAGACCTTTCAAAATGAATGAAGGTGAGCAGGCTTGTGCGCTGGCAGGGAGCGGGGAGGAGCGCTCGTCCGGGCTCTCGCCTGCCTCGGAGCTCTGTTCTTCCAATTAACCTTTGCAGAAGACAGGACAGTGCCCTCACACAGAAATTTGCCAGTGTCCCCAAGGGCGTTTGGTTGGTAGAAAACACACTTGTTATGCCAGTTGTTAGAGAAGTGAAGAGAAAGCTGATGTTGGAGGCTGTGAGTGCGCTTGGGTCTTGCTGGTTGAATTTCACAGTTCTGTGAACTTTTCCTTTAAAACATGCTTTTGTTTTAGCTTTCAAGACTACATGATACTACTCAGTAATTGTACAGAACGGGTGACACAGCAACCAGAGACCCAAAATTGAGTCTTTTCCTGCAGCTGGAGAACACTGTTTGTGATTGCAGAAGGTGAGACTGGAGTATCTCTTGGGAGGTGAGGGGGAAGGAGCAGGCTGTGGTACCAGGTCAGTGGCTGTTGTCTCCAGCTTGGACACAGTGCTTGCTCTAGGGCTAGAGCCTGTGATGCTGCTGGTTGTCGTAGGTCTTGGCAAGAGCGCCAAGAGTATGGATATGCAATGGAAACACAGTTTTCTGAAGCACGTTCTTGCTTTATTTTACAAGCTTGGTCCACCAAAGAGCCTTTCAGCAGTGCTGCTATTTGAGATTTTCATTCTGCAGAACAGGTTTGATTTAGTGGCTGGCAGGAGGACAATAGTGGTGGAAGCCCCTCAAGCTTTCAGTGCATCAGGTTCTGCTTGAGTGGCATCTTCCTGTCATAAAATGTCCTGGGAAGTGCATAGTAACTGACTTCTTGGCAGTCTCCTTGATGGTGACCCTCCATTTCCAAAGGAGCCCAACAGCAGTAACTAAACCCCTGAGTTTAGAGAGGAGGACTTTGTTAGGAGAAAGTTCACCCCTTTTATGTTCTGCTCTTGCTTTTGGGCATAGTTTCTGTCTGGGCTGTGAATTAATCACATTACACCACTGGCCTTTTGGGCTATCACGTCTCCAGGAGGTGCTGCTTAGATCAATGTCGGAGTGATCCTGAGCTGCATTTCAGTAACACTTTAATTTCCTCCTTGGCCTCCCTCCAGCTGCCAAGCCTGGACCTTTTGTTTCCTTGCTTGATGGCAAATTTTGGTTTTGCAGGTTTTTGCATTGCTGCCAAGTTAATTTTAGAACTTTAGTTGCCATGGCTACTGCCAGGAATTTCTTAGTTCTCTACTTATTTGCTCAGTTTGCTGCTTTCCTTTTTTCTTTTTCTTTTTCTTCTTTCTTTTCTTTAACATTTCAACTGCGATGTGTGAAGTGCATGGAATAATTATCTCCCCCTGCAGAAGATAATAAGGAGGGCGTGTGAGAGGTGAGGCTCTTAAGTCTGATGACTCAGCTACTCTTTCAGCAGCTGCAAAGGCGTGAAGCCCCTCTTGTGAGGCGTGGTGAGGATGAGGGGTTTAAGTCTGGGGAGGAAGGCACGGGTACCACACTCGATCTGATTCACTGAATGAAGTGTCCTGAGACTGCTGCTAATTCTGTCTTGAGGTTTATCTGTGCCTTGCTGGCTACTTGTATAGACTTAGAACTATATGTATTTCCAAGACTTCCTCTTAATTTAAAATCCTTTGGAACAATGGCCATTGTCTTGCTCAGAGCCTGTACAGTCCATTGTACAGAGAAATCCTGTTTCATTACTAGAGCTCCAAGGTGCTACACTAATACCAATAATGATTAAAAAAAAATATGAATGGATGGAGAACAAGCTCTCCATATTGAGGTGTCCTGCTCTGTTTATGCAGGCCAGGTCATGAGTGTCTTTTCAGTCATCTGAAAGAACGGGCCAAGGCAGAGCACCCAGTGATATTTAGACTTCTGATTAATCTTTGAAACACTGGTGCTTTTGAGGAAAATGTAGTTCTTGTCAGTACAGAAGATCTTGGGAGAACATCCTGAGTTTCAGGTGGGGCTAGCAGGGCAGGGAGCCAGGCAGAGGTGGAGAAAATGACCTGATGGGTAACTTGAAGAGCTGGTAATGAAGCCACCCTCAGCTCCAGGCTCTTAGCTCGAGGGCTGTGCTGGCTGCTGTGGTTCTGATCCGTGGGTATTGGGGACAGTTGTGATCAGCACAGGGTGAAACACACAATAACCTGGTGCTGTTTTTAGCCAGGAGGTATCAGCAGGTCAGTGTTGTCTGGATGTGAAGCCATCACTGTTGTAGACCTGGAAGGAGCTTGGGGCTTCATCCTGCTGCTTTCCCAGAGATCTTACCCGTTTGCCAAGTACCTGGTAAGCAAAGATGTGATCGTACTGTATGACTTTGGCCAGTGCCCATAGCTCAGGTGTGTTTAGAATGTGTGACACCTCTATTCACAAATCTCTTTTCTGTGCCTGGAATGGAGAAAGCCAAAGCAGGGCAGAAACACACTCTGAATGCAGTGGAAACCAAATCCTTGTCTTGGGTGTCTAAGGGAAATAGGAAATTGCTTGGGGAGGGGAACAAGTGGAGCTTGAAAGTCTATCATGAAACCAAGGTGCCACACTGCCTGAGCTAGACCTTGTTGGTAGCTTGGAGAAGGGCAGGAGGGAAAAAAGATAGCTGGGTTAGAAAGGGCAGCACTAGAATAAAAAATACTCTGAACATCCAGTGCTCAAAATCTACATAAGACTTGTTTTAGTGGGACCTAAACTCGTCGAGGATGAGAAATTGAAGAGCTTTTGGAGACTTAGCTGGATGCCCTAGGAACTCTCAGCACAAAAGGTAAATAATGTGCAGAGGCTCTGCCTGCCTGTATTTGATTTTTGTCGTTGTCTTGAACCTTCCAAGCTGCAGCTCTGCTCTTCAGCCCGTTGGAATTTCAATGTCTTCTTACAGTAGCATCTTTGTTGGAGATGGACCGTGACTCCTGCTCATTAAGGCTACAGATGTCTGCTCAGATGATGTATTTTAAAAGCTTTTTCTCTGATGAACTGTGAAAAGCCAGGCTTGAGCAGGGAATTGCAGGAGATACAGTAATAGCCCCTCGTCCCTGTGTCTGGCAGACTCAGTGCAGTTGCTCGCAGAGCTTTTTAAAAACTTTGAGACAGCAGATTTGTTCGCAGTCAATAAGGCAGCCAGCCCTCTGAGCACAGCCTGGCCTCTTGCCTTTATCAATCTTTTCCTAAATTATTCACAAAGCTTTTTACACTCAAAAATCTCTAATCCGCGAATTCAGCGTTTCCCAGGTAATAAGGTTTAATAGGCGTAAGTGGCACTGATAAAGTGCTTATATGTGGTGTGATTAGAAAACATACATCTTAAGGAGGGGGAAAAAGCACAAAGGAATAAATACTCCATGAATTTAAGCTAAATTAGCTCTCCCACTCACCTTTCTTGTGAATTTGCATTCAGTAGCAGAGCAGACAGAACTTTCTGAACCTGCCTGGATAATATCTGCTTCTGGGAGAAGATAACTGAATTATCAAGTTCAGTTCAGTGGCTTCTGTGATGTGTAAACATTTGCTGCAAGTTACTGGAGCAGAACTAGAGTGTCACAGCTTTTTCTTTCTGAGGTAGTTGTCATGTCCAGCTGAGACCTTTCAGCTGTTCTTCGAGCTCACCTTATCCCTGGGACAGTGTGTGCAAAATGGACAGAGGTTCATCGGGGAGTCACAGCCAGGTTGGATGAGGCTCTGAGCAACCTGGTCTAGTGGAAGGTGTCCCTGCTGATGGCAGGGGGGTTGGGACTGGATGAGCTTTAAGGTCCCTCCCAACCCAAACCAGTCTGTGATTCTATTTTAACTACAAATTTACCCAACACCTCTGCAGGATATGTGGGTTGTTGCTGTAGGAGAAGGATCATAAAGCCTGATGAAATAGATGCTTTGTTTCAGGCTGTGCTAAAGCTGGTCGTCCGATCCCATCTGAATTTTGACAAAATATTTTTCATCAGGGATCTGGTTATTCTGTCGGGATTTATGGAGGCTTTTCAGGCAGGACCTAGAAGGTGCTGTCCTAAACAGATGGATAAACTTCAAAGTTTTGAAAAGAAGTTGATGAATAATTCACTTATTTTTCTTGCCTTTTAATAAGATGGAGATTATAAAGAGAAGGGACTGTGCTGCTGCAGAATGGTCCCATGGTAACTAATTAGGTCTCACCAGGTCTGCAAAGGCATCCTGTTCTCAGCCTTATGCCAGCGCGCTGTAACCAGTGAGCCAAGCTGAGTGATCGAGTCTCGTGGTATTTTACTGGGATGTCACAATATATTTCCCTTCCTTGCGCTGAAGAACTGCAGGTAGTGATCTTCATCCGTGAATCATTCTTTGCAAATAAACTTCTTGATGTTTGCATAAACATGATCTGCTTGTCACTAGACTCCCTGCACTGGCCCTTGTCCATGATATGTGACATGAATTCGTTTCTCAGCTGGTGAGTTTAGGGAGTGTATTAAAGAAGCCACTGCAATATGTGATGAGCTGTAATTAAAATTACTAATGCATGTAAATTCTTTTCCTCCCTTCTGTTTTGATTTACATTCTTCGTGCAGACTTTGTGCACTTTGCTGATTGAGCCAGAGACCAAGTGTTGACTGGTGACAGTGATTTCTGCTTTCTCTCCAGCATGGTTGCACAGGGAAATAAATTTAGTCAGGATCTTCACTGAGATGTGACACCAGTTATCATGCAAACTGTGTGGTGTGCAGCTGGTCTGCAGAGCTCTGATCTGTGGTTGTAGTGGCATCAGCAGTAAAACAGATCTATTTGAGAGCAATAGTTTTCATAGTCAGTAGCAGGACCAACCATCACGTTCTTAGTTCCGCTACATCTTTCTTTCATGTCTCATCCCTTCTTACTGAAGTATCTATGATTTAAAATGGAGATGTTTAAGGAATTAGCCATTATATTTTGTATTATCTGACATAACTAATGCGTAAGTTATTTTTAGTGATGCTGGGAAATGTGGTTTGGTGTTTGACCATGGAAATGAACTACTAAAATCAAATATTGAAATACCCAAAACATCATGAGGCAGAACAGTGGGTGCTTGAGGAAAGCTCTTCTGTTATGCCAGACACAATTGGTGTGTATGTCATTATTTTGTTGCTAGAGAATCATAGAATCCCAGACTGGTTTGGGTTGGAAGGGACCTTAAAGCTCACCCAGTTCCAAGCCCCCTGCCATCAGCAGGGACACCTTCCACTGGAGCAGGAACCTGCAGGTGGCTCGGTTGCAGTTGTGAGTGACCCAGAGGCAGTTTGAGTTGATAGGTGGCAGGAAGGAAGAGCATTCGTTAAGATTTACTGTCCCAGCCTTCTGCAGCAGGAAATGAAGAATTTGGATGGGTACTTCTCTTGTAACTGTGTGGATTTTGGAGGACAAGGGGTTTTACATTTCTCATTCTAGTGTGCTTTGCCAGGCACTGTGCTTATGCCTCGGAGCTGAGCGTCTCACTTCTGGAAACGAAAAGCGTTACCTGACAGGAGGGGATGGGGGAGATAACTCCCGTGATATTCTGCACGTGTGTCCTACTGTGGTCTGTATTTCCCTCTTTTTCAGCTGGTGTCTCCCTAGTAGTTTATCTGCTGGCACTCATTGCGGGTGGGGATGGACCGAGTGAGTGTCAGCCAGTCTCTCATTTGCATGTGTATGCTTTTAATAAGCTGATTTTCCACAATCCAAAGAAAAAAAGGCAAACTTGCTTTTGTCATGTAGGTGAAGAGCAGCTTTGTGTTGAAACAGATCTCAGGCTTCCTTCTCCTTCTGTCTTGCAGAGGCAGGCAGCGGCCAAGACTATGTGACCTCAGAAAACCAGCTGCTCTACTACCCCAGCATCACCTACGCGATCATTGGCAGCTCTGTCATTTTCGTGCTGGTGGTGGCCTTCCTGGCCCTGGTGCTGCACCACCAACGCAAACGCAACAACCTCATGACGCTGCCGGTGCATCGGCTGCAGCACCCTGTCCTGCTGTCCCCGCTGGGGGGGCT